GAAAAGTAATAAAAAAAAATCCCATTCTCTTCAGGATTGTATTAATAATTCCTCTCTTGAAATGCATCATAAGGAGGTGATTCAAGGAAGGGAGAAGCTGTATGCACACAGCACTGTTATTTATGACAGCAAAAAAAGAATTTAAGTAGTTTATTATCCAAACGTCCTACAATAAAGGAAAGACTGAGTGAATTATGGTATGACCATGACATAGCCATAAAGACCACGTAGCAACATGGCAAAGTGATTGTAAATATATTAGCAGTGGGAAGAGAGTTAAAAATATATGTGTACATGGATGAGAAGAGCATTCAGAGAACTATAATGGTTTTGTCAGGATGTTACAATTATAAATATAAATGGTTTCTGCTTAGTTTCCTTTATCGTTCTATGGAAACAACAGCAAGAACCAAAAAATGCATCAATTTACCCAGGTTACTGACCGTGATTTTTCCTCAGATTCTTTTCTGGCCATTCGTCTTCTGCATGATTCAATGAAAGGTGCTCCAAGGAGGGACTTTGCTGTTGTACGTGAAGGCCATTTCTAAGGTCGGGAGAATAGTCTTCCTGTGGCTTTTACGCGCCAACATGGGCTGACACTCTGATCATCTGTCTCTGAAGTAAAGCTCAAGCTGCTATGCATCATCATAGGAATATTTTCTCCTATACTGAGAACACAGTTACAATCATCTATTCATTCCCTCCTGCCACAGTTTCCTGAAACTAGAAGCCAATTTTCCCAATTTAGTTGTAGATTTGTAGACACCAAAGAGAACAAAAAATTATGGAACTTCCTATGTAGGAATCAAACTCACTGGTCTTTAATATGGTGCTATATATGGACCTCCTCCCCCACCACCACTATGGATAAAAAAGTCCTCTCTTTCTGAAATTTCTGTGGATTTGCATGATTATCCAGCTTGGCAAGAGCTACAGTTAACCGTATGTTGAGTATAACATTAATTTTTATTATGTTGAGAATTCTCCACTGGCCTTACTCCTTGAGATACATTGAGACTTGTGAGTGTGATATGCATACTCTTTGTGTATCTGCATTCCAGGTAGGCTGGTGACTGATATGGCTTTAGAAAGCGTGAAAGAAACATGGCCAGGGGATTCTCAGAGGGAGTCAGTGATGCCCAACACTCAGCTTAGTAGAGGTGGAAAAGGTGGTGTCCAGGACAGAGCAGAAGCTGACCAGGAAATGTCCATCAGCAAAGCCCGAGGACGGTGGTGGAGCCAGACCCCACCTGTCCATAGGCTTATAACTAAAGCAGGAGATCTTTAAAGAGAGAGCAGGGTCTTGATTTTCCAGGGATTGAGGGAACTGAGTTAAAGAATTCAACCTACCCTATTGAGAACTAACTTCCATAAAGTAATCAAGCAAACAAGAATATTTAATCTTAGAGGAGAAGCCAACCTGAAGGAGAATGAAGACAGAGAAATGTTGGAAGGCTCTTTGAGACTTAGTCAAGCTTGTGTGCTTACGTTCTGTGTATAATATACCTGCTGAATTTCTTTTACAATGCAGTGAAATTAACTCTGCTCTTCAAATACTGGGCAAGTGCCAGAAACTAAAAGAATCTTTGTGAGGAACCAGCACAACCAGAGAAAGAAAACTCATAAATTCCAGGGGCTTGGTTTTTTGGAGCACATTTTATTTTACAATACCAGAGAATTAACATCTAGTAGCAGCATCATACAAAAATGACACGCTGATCTATTAAAACTCATATAACAGGAAGTGTATTTCAAAAATGGTAAGAAAACAAAGTAGATTTAGAGACCAGTTGGTATAAATATATGAAAAAAAATCAAAACTTTCACTTCATCAACAAAAACAAAAACACAATTGCAACGTACATAAGGGTACAATCACTTTACATTCCCAAAGTGGATTGTCATTTTTATTTTCCATGAAATGTATCTATATATTAATATATATGTACATGTATCTTCACATTCTGGGTGGCAAGAGAAATCTTCAAATTTATACATTTCATTTATAATAACCAGAACATTAAAAATAGCAGCAACACTGGTCTTTAAATATATATAATATTACAGTAGATTGTTCACATTTTGGTAGCTCGTTCATTATTATCTAATACCCACATACAATTTACAAACTTCAAGGTTCTGGTCTCATCTCCAAATAACTCAGAGTCTAGATTCAATAAATACTATAAAAAGGATAATTATAAAACACAGACTGCAGAGCATTCTCCATAGCAGGGAGGGAATCCTACCCAAAGGATTAAGGGAAGAATCAGGTCTGACGGCATATGGGAAGTCTGCAGGATCCCCAAGGCAAAAAGAGTGTGATCTGACAAGCTCCCTGAAATGTTACGAACTGAGTCCGGAGAAATGTACCAATGGGGGAAAGAAGGCACCGTCCCCTTTTCATCCTTCCATGCTTTGTTTGAATATGGCATTAAAGTGATAAACAACTTGGGAAATGTCCCAATAAATTGGGGATAGAATCATTTCTCACTAGGAGACAGGACGCTGGACCAGGAGGCTGATAATTATTTTTCAGCATTTACATTTATTCTAATGACCAAAGGCATAAAAACTGAGGTTTCAACAGGACCTTGTGTATTTAATCCTGCATGGTAGGAAAGGTATGTCTGCCACCATTCCCAGTATAAACCACTGGATCAACTGCTAATCCTGTTGGTTTAAAAAGAAACCCCAGACGTGGTGACAGGCATTTCCTCATACTCGGGATTTGGTGACAGAAGTTGCCCCTGCAATTGTGGCCTATTCTAATATTTCAGAGTTTTTTCAGAAAAGGTAAATGTTTAAGTCTTTCAATGGGGTTGGACCTTTGCCTTACACAACTACAGGTACTACTCTCTGCCATTTCAATAGTTTGTCCCTATTTTCAAACCACTTCATATACTATTTCAATTGATTCTCACAAAAAAACTTGTGAGGAAGCCAGGATAGGCATCTAAGTGCTCATTTCAAAGACCAGGAAAATGGAAGCTCATAGAGACCAGAGTGACTTAGCTCATCTGCAGTCACACACCTGAATGAGCCGGTACAGATCTTTTGCAAACTTCGCTCTGTGCAATGGTTACTCTTTTTAAAGAATGGGGCTTGGTAATAGTTGTTTTCTGAAGTAATTTGAAGGGGGTGGAAAGAAAGAGAGAAAAATGAGCTCAAGAAAAGAAGGGAGAGACAAGTGGTGCCACTTGGCAGTTAGAATCACGAACTTCAAAACAAGCAAAGTACATTTCACATGCAGAACACAGAAATGCTTAAAAAAATTTAAATATTTCAGTCTTCCAAATAGTCTCATTTTGGCCTGGATTACTACATGTTTAAGTAGTTACTGAGGCTGCCTTTGAAACATAAGGTCACTAAGAAATTTTAACATGAGTTCCACAATTTCCCAAGAGGCTGGTAAAACATTTAAGCCTGTTCTCAGGACCCCACACCTGCCCCCTCCCCTCCAGCACAATACCGTTACATTAAAATCTATAGACTGTATATCTATTTGGCTCACTTGGTGGTTTTCTCGGGTGTGGGCTTCCTAAGATATCATTAATGAATATTCTTGCTGTGTCCTTAGGAAAAATTAGCTTTTTCTCTCTGGAACTAAGCTGAGAAGAAGACTGCACTAAACTTTAGAGCTTTTATCATTTTAAATTTGGATTCCACTTGGACAGTTGCTAGAGAAGTAAGAAAAAATTTGAAATGATGATAATAATTTAGAAAGCTGTCATATTTCACACAACTGTTGCAAGAAAATTTAGTGACTCTTAGCTTGATAGTTTCATAAAATGAATTTTATGAATTCCATAGGAAGTATCCCATTGTAAAGGAACTTACCTATAATGATAACATATAAACCAGAAGACTTTAAGGTTCTGGTGTGTGACACTTTGAACTATTAATCAGTTCTTATTTATAATCAATAAATGTGTTTTTTTTGTTTTGTTTTGTTTTTTTGAGACAGGGTCTCATTCTGTTGCCCTGGGTATAGTGCAGTGGCATCACTGTAGCTCGCTGCAGCCTCAAATTCCTGGGCTCAAGCGATCCTCCTGCCTCAGCCTCCCAAGTAGCTGGAACTACAGGTGTGCGCTACCACACCCGGCTAATTTTTCTATTTTTTGTGGAAATGGGGTCTTGCTCAGGTGGATCTCAAACTCCTGGCCTCAAACAATCCTCCCACCTTGGCCTCCCAAAGTGCAAGGATTACAGGCCTGAGCCACCGCAGCAGGCCAGTAAACGCATTTTAAGGAAACAGTCGAATTAAAAAGGAGGCTATTTTCAACACCATTTGGTTACATGATAAAAATGTTGTAAAAACCCTTTGTTCCTCTCAGGGACCACCCATGCTCTGCCCTCCCCACCCACTTTCCCTAACTTTCGTGTACCATAAATGCCCCACTGACAGTCTCCTCAACCCCGAATTGAACATATGATGCACCAAAAGGCAAATTATGCTTTGGCAAGCAGCAAACTGGACAATTCTTTGAGCTTTTCTGAGGTAGTGGAGTCTCTCCTAAACTCCTAATGGTTAGGAAATGTCTATGAAGCTGACTTAAGAGCCAAATGGAGTGTTGGTCACTGTACTTAAATATACTCTGAAATGGGTGGTTTATGTGATTACATGATACCACATACTCCAAAAGCTGTTTCAGTAGAATCCTGATTGTTACGTGGAGAACTTAAAGGTATTCAGGTTGTTGTGTGATGAGGGTCAGCCACAGTCTTTAAAAAAGTGCCTGTCATTCAGTCAGGTGCTCACTCAATATTTGACAAATGTTTTAGCTCAGTGAGATTACAAGCAAAAACAGACATTAAAAAACCTAACCAACTGCAGGCTAATATCCTCAAAGTCTAGAGCACTTTTCCCCGTGCGTGGAATTTTAGACACCTTTCAAACTACGAGAGAGTTAAGTTCAAATGGTGTTGTGCGTGGTATCGTATGCAGTTCCACATTCACTCCATTTATCGGAGGCCCTCTCATTCCCGTTAGGATTTTACTATAATGATGTGATTGTGAGATTTCTGTCCATAAATAACTTTTCTGAAGACAACGTGATCCACTCTCTCTGTTGTTCTTCAAGCTTTTCTGCCAAGCATTTAAGCAAGATAGGGTCCACCTTAGAATCAAATTTATTGGCAAACCAATGTCCATCTTTTATAAGCCACCTCAATTCTGCGGCTCCATAAATACACACACTTCGAAGGTGAGCGCCAGTACAACCGGGGTAGAGAAAGCCTTCGTAATAATTCCATTTGACAAGGCGGGTCTTACTCTGTAGATCAGACACATCCTGGGCTGATCTGGAAATTCCCCCAGGTATTCCTGGAACCCGAATTAAGGTAGCCCAAAAGTGCTCATCGGGAGAGTATGTATCTTCAGACCAGGCAAAAAAGTCTTTAATGAGGGAGTTGTTGAAAATATATTTAACAAATGCTTGACTTAACACAAAATAAGCACTGCCAACAAATACCTCAATGTTATGAGGAGGTGCTTCCTTGGAGATGTTTGTCCTTATCGGTAGCTTCATATACTCATAAGGCATCTGTCGGAGTTCGTGGTGATAAGTGAATCTTTCCATTTTAGTGTTAGGGGGTTTCACAGTCTCTAACATATTAGCTCCATTGAGTTTCTTCAACTCTGACACCAATTCAAAATTTGACTTTAGGGGAAAATCTTGCCCACACAGGTTGATAACATATTTCCACTGAACTGAAGACTTAAGAAGGTCTGACAAGCAATTTAAATCTGCTTGGAGTCTGGAAATGTGGGCATATTCCACAGCCTCTAATTTGGAAGCAATGAAAATATTGGAGAAGCACTTAGCTAAATTGTTCATGGCAACTTTGAAGGTATCAGGTGACTTGCGGTCATAATGGATGCAGTAAATATTGTGTGGGTTGTAGATAGCATGGATAAGCCTTTCGACCATAATTGCGTCTTTGTGGACAACCAAAGAATAGGCTATTGGGAAGCTTTTCTCCTCTCCTGAAACAAGCTTTTGAGGGTATCTTCTTAGAGTCTGATAAATCTCACAATCACTGGTCATTGCCACGACATCATCATCCTCCAGGTCGATGATGTCTCTTCTTCTTATTTCCAGACTCTTGCCAATCTCCAAAGGCTCTTGTTCATAGACACCAGAACAGTTAACTTCATATCTGACTTCATCCTTAACATGAGTGTATCTGTTTCTTACAAAAGGCGAGGTACTTAAGGAGTACTCAACCAGGTAAATGTCTCTTTGAGGGAAGAGGAGTCTTTTCACATTTAGAAGTTTCAACAGGGAGAACAGCCATAGGGTTAAAAACAGGATGAAAACTTTCTGCTGCAGGGCGTATTTAAAACAACATTTGAGTATCTTCATTCTGTAAGAGGAGAAAGAAATAATTCAATTTAAACGTTAAGACAAAACCCCTTTATCCAAAACTACTGGGTGCCTACCATAGGCCAGGAAGAATGCTGGACCCAAAGATGACTAAAACAAAGTTTTTGCCCTTGAAAGAATCCAGAAATAAGAAAATGGAAATATGAAGAATGGTGGTATTTTGTGATGTTCTGTGTGTTAACTGTACCTAATTTTGAGAGATATTGATTACCAAATTGAAAGGAAGATAATGCAAATTCCTAAAATATAAATACTATGTGTCTTACATTGTCTGCCTTTCTGCTTAGCGTATTTGAGGAGGGATTTCTCTGGCTTGGGCAGATGTCTGGAGAAGTGGATGTCATCAAGAGGTCCTCAGAGATGCAAAGGACTCACCTGAGATCAAAAGAAACTTCCATCTTGATTCTGCCCTCAGATCCTGCTTAGATCCAGGTCTTAAGTCAGTCAAGGAAAGCCCAAGGAACCCACCTTCAGAAATAAGAGCAGTGAGCAGACACCCAAAGGAGCTATAGTAGGTATTAGAGATTGTAAAATGTTGTATAGGTTACAAAGGTTGGATAAAGCTGCTCATTTCCCTCAGTTTTTATATACAAAAGTCCCCATTTCCTCACAGAAATTCGCAATGTAGCCCTTAGAATGAAAAAGGCCTGACTCTCATTGACAGTGGTAGGTGGGGGTGTTAAGGCTACCTTGGGGCACCAATTTGGCAATACCTGTCAGTTTTAAATGTCCTCACCCCGGAGATCTCATGAGTGAGCAAAGACATGCACAAGGAGGTCCCCTGCAGTGTTTTGTATTCATGCTAAAGACAGAAAACAGCCCAAACATGCTTCAACAGGGCATTGATTAAATTACATCCATACTATGTGAAAAAACCTGAGACCAATCTGCATGTGCCAGTGGGGAACAAGCTCTAAGATATCCTGCTAAACAGAAATAAGCAGAATGCAGAGCTGTGTGTAGTATGCTTCCATCTGTGTATACTTGCAGAGAGCACACATCAGCAAACTTTTTCTTAAAGGACCAGATAGTAAATACCTTTGGCTCTGCAGTCCATATTGCCTCTGTCACAACTACTCAACTCTGCTGTTGTAGTGGGAAAGCAGCCACAGATGATATGCCAAGGAGTGTGTGCGGCTGTGTTCCAATAAAACTTTATTTACAAAAACACGCAGCTGGCTGGATTTGGCCCACAGCTGTAGTATTTCCAAAAGGACACGGTATACACACGACACTGGTAACAGGAGTTGCTTTGCAGGGTGGGATGGGAGAAGACTGAGGATTGGGGCCTGGGTAGGTAGGGGGATTTACTTATCACTCAATATCCTTCAGTACCATTGGAATTTTTAAAAAAATGATTATATCACTTTTTCAGATAAAAGCAGGCTAAGCAGGGGGAGGGCATAGATGTGCTCAGTGGGAGCAGCAGGAAAAGAGGCCCATGAAGTTCTAGCTCAAGGTCGGAACATGGAAGGGCTGGCAGAGCTTCTAGGGCTGCTTCAGGCGGTTCAAAGTCTGAGAACTGATGTGGTCTGAGCAGCGCATGTGCAGTTTCCTAACACATCTCAATAAATCTTAAACGAAGACATAATCATTGTATCCAATTGCATTCAAAAGAATTACTGAGAAATTGGAACCCAATTTAATTTTGTAGGTTTCTTCTATACAGATGAATTGGCAAAGCTTTCTCCTGGGAATGACATCCAACCTTCTTCATTCACTTCAATTGCTCTCGGTTAAAGAACGGCACCTTCTTGACCATGAACTGTTCTGCAGAATCCTGCCCTCCCCGGCCAGATCTCCATCTTTCCTCACGGGCTGCCCCAGGGAACTGTCCTCAGCTTGCTGCTCTTCTCATGCACACTCACCTCACTCTCTGGATTCCACCTTCCACGCTGACACCTTTCCATATTCCTACACCCTTCTCCCCAGCTCTCACCCCTTGTCCAAGCTTCAGGTTGAACTGCCAGGTGCTTGATGGACGTCCCCACCTGGACACCCTGCAGGCACTCAATCGCCACGAGTCCAAACCTGAACTCGACACCGTCCCCTCACCTGAACATCCTGTCTCAATACATGGTGACACCATCCATTCATGACTCACACTTGAAACTTGAGAGTTACCCACCTCTTCCATTTCCCGCACACCCACATCAACAGGTCACCTCATTAATATGCCTCAAACCTGTTCCCCTTCTCCATCGCCACTGCCAGGCCCAGACAGCATCACTGTTCAATCAGCACCCAGGGGAAGGGACTCCCAGTCAGGCTCCTGGCCCTTGGTCCCTTGTCGGGTCTCAGCTTTCTGCTCCCCCAAAGTACACTGAACAGGGTCCCATCTACTCAGGCACAAGGCCAAGGTTCCTGCCAATTGTTATAAAGCTGTGGAAAACTGCCCCCGAGGCACAAGATGACACATTGCCACTGCAGAAGCCTGAGCACATGTGTAGAATTAGGTTTGTGATAAAATAAGACACAGAAGACTAATCAATCCCAAACAGATTTTTATATATGTGTGTGTGCAGTCCTAATTCATGATAATTAGGCACAAATAGGAAGCAGCTTACATAAATGGCTAGAATTAGAATGGGTCTTACCCAAAGTAAATTTTTGCTTTTTCTTTTCTCACTTTATTGGTCCATGAAATCTCCAATTAGCATCAGGTAACAGTTCCCCCTGATACTACAGCGGTAAAATGAAAAGACCTCACATTCTAGAGGTTTACAAAGTCTCCCGGAGTTGTCATGTCATTTATAATGTATCATTTAACTATTATATTCACATATTCACATTTCTTTTTTTTCTTTTTCCTGAGACAGAGTCTCACTCTGTTGCCCGGGCTAGAGTGCCGTGGTGTCAGCCTAGCTCACAGCAACCTCAAACCCCTGGGCTCAAGTGATCCTCCTGCCTCAGCCTCCTGGGTAGCTGAGACTACAGGCACATGCCACCATGCCCAGCTAATTTTTTCTATTTTTAGTTGTTTGGCTAATTTCTTTCTATTTACAGTAGAGATGGGGGTCTCCCTCTTGCTCGGGCTGGTCTCGAACTCCTGACCTTGAGCGATCCTCTCGCCTCGGCCTTCCAGAGTGCTAGGATTACAGGCGTGAGCCACTGCGCCCGGCCTGTATTCACATTTCTTATAAAGACAAAGGTCAGCTCCCTGCCCTGTCACCCGTTTCCAGGGCTGCCTCTGCACGCATGCATCCCTGTCCTTCCTGACGCCAGCCTGGGGCCTGGAGTCTGAGCTGGGTCGGGAGGCCATGGCTATCTGCCCAGACAGCGAAGGTCACAGGGTACCCGGGCAAGGGAGAGGCAGGAGTCACACTGTGAGAAGTCCTCTGGGAATTGGCCTTGGGTCCCCATGTGTGAGCTTCGCCAGCCAGGGACAAGAGAGAATTTCAAAGGAAGGAGGGGAGGGCAATGGGACAGGCCAGGCACCTCACTTTCTGATCCACCTTCTCCTACCCAAGGCATCTTTAAGGGGTGAGTTTGTGTGCTCTGGGGTCAGCTCCTTTGAAAGGAGCAGCTCTTCAAAACCACCCTGTCCAAAGTCAAAACAGAACCCCTTCGCCTGCTTACCATGGCCAGAAATTCCCTTAACTGAAAAGCATTCCTATCCCCAAGTTCGAAGTGGAAAGGGGTAAGGGGCAAAGCCATTTGGTGTGAGTTTCTGTCAAATCCTAAAAGGGGCTGTTGGCCTCTACCCCGCTGTGGCGGGCACTAATCGAGAGGGCAGAGCCGGCAGGAGACTAGAGAAGACCACAGGTCCCCAATCTGGACTCTGTGTTGGCTTTCCTCCAGGAAGAGTCTCTGTGTGACACCCTCAGGCCCCTCCCAGCTCTGTAGGGAACACCCCAGAGAGCAGCCAAGATTGCAGGGGGTGGAGGTGGGCTGCCCACTGTAGCCCCGCCTTCCTTTCCTGCCACCTGCAGAATTCCCAGAGGCCCTGGGCTGGGAGGGATGGGGACCAGCTCCTGAGACCCGGCCAGGTCTGACCAGAGTCGGCAGGGCTAAGGCTGGCCAGCATGCTGGCCACATGGTTCCTAGGAGACCAGGCTAGCAGTGCCCTTCTGCAAACACCGAACCCAGCACTTTCCCTCTTAAAGGCTTGCCGGCAGGAAGCAGGCAGGTGTTTTCCTGCCAGGAAATAGTCTTACAAATACATTACAAATAATTTCCCATGCGTGGGAGAAGGGTATTTCCCCTCCCACCTGCCCAGGCAGACAAGGAAGTCCGACCTGTTGTGGAGTTTATTGCCACATAGGTACAAGTTCCTAGCGGTGATGACGATAGAACTGAAAAAGAGAATGATAGCAAGGTTTGGCGGCTATAGCTCAGGTGAAATAGGTCTATAATAATTCGGTAAAAACCTACTTCTCACTAAAGTCCCAGCAGGGATGTTGAATAAAGCATTTTCCCCAAACCACATTCTTTTCCCAACTCTGCCAGGCAAGGTTGGAGCCTTCAAGGAAGCAGCAGGAGCACAAAGCTACACCCCAGCTAAGTGAGCATAATTGCACTCAGGACTAAATGGCTACAGCCATTAGCAGCTCTTCAACTAACTCTTACCTCAGCAATTTTAAAACCCAAGACTGTCAAGGAAGTACAGATGCTTCCTTTCTCAGGGAGGGAAGGGGAATGGTAAATCAAGAATGGGAGGAAGGAGACTGGGGAGGAAAGTACTGAGTATGGTTTAGATTATGGACCAAGAATTGCACGCCTGCAATCTTCCCAGTAACTCTCTCGGGTTGTGGGGCTCTGGGGAGAGAGGAAAGAAAGTGGCTGGGCTTCAGAACGCTGCAGAACTGGGCTCGAGTCCCTGGAGAAACACTTAGTAGGTATAAGACTTTGATCAAACTATTCAACCTCTTCTGAGGCCAGTTTTCTTGTCTGAAAATCAGGAAAGCTCCTCCACAGCTGCTGGGAGGACTGAGGTGCTCAGCACACCTTAGATGCCTTTCTGTCCCCATGCCCCAGCT